CTGATGCCAAATTACTTTTATTCAAATAAATAGGAGGGAAAATATCGTACAAATAAAAGTTTATCATTCTTAAATACCAAACGCATTGAACACAAATAAAAACTGGATAAAAACGATACTATTTCTCAGTCTTAAATATTTATTTTTCGATTAAATAATTGAAAGAAATTCAAATTATCTTCATTATAACTATTATGATTATACAGTCCCTGGTCAAATTAGTAGACGCACTATAAGATTCTATGTAAAATCTTAATTATCAGGTGATACTATACAACTTTATTGTTTTCACGCGGTTTGCACTTGTTTACCTTCGTGTATCAATGGGTAAACATTGTAATACAATACGTTTGAAATAAATACAAATAGGAAGTATATAAAAAATCTCCTCTGAAAAAAACCTTTACATGTATGTTTAAATATAAAAGTACAGCATATAAACACGTGCAAAACATGTCATTATTAAAAAACTACAATATATCTAATAATTTTGTCTAATTATTATAATATTCTAATATAATACCTGATATAATAAGTATTCTATATTTATATTATATACCATCTAATTTTTCCAATCATCGAATTTATATTACTCATTGATACACGAACGTAAACTAGTGCAAACCGGTTTCAGCAGCTTAAAAACAATAAAGCTGTATAATATCACCTGATAATTAAGTTTTAAATAGAATATTTTAGTGCATCTTATAATTTGGCCAGGGACAGTGTATATATATCTTCCTAGTGACTGGTTTTTGGGAATAGTGAGGAAAAATAAACCACTTAAAATTGTTGATTTTTCTTCAGATATAACGAAAATAAAAAAATAAAGCTGTGACAATTAAATTAATTATTAAAGTTGGGGAAAATAATATATAGCGGATATTGTTTCATTAACATCAAACAGCTAACACTCAAGAATGGAGTTTTTAAGAAGCAATTCATCTTTTGACATTGATTGCACAGTGAACTTGATTTGTCTTTTGTCAGTGAACATGATTTTATTTACATTCGTTTTTGATCGCAAAAAAATGTTCAACTATCATCTTTTTCAACAACATTCTCCAGTAAATCAAGGAGAGCAGAAATTTGTGGATTCAATTCATCTTGGAAGGAGTGACTAGTCTTCTTCTCCAGAATTCGTGACTTTAACTCTGTGACTGTATTTAGGGATAGAGGCGACGACCACATTACGATTTCTTTCACGTGATTCCAGTCAGCATCAGTTAGTGACTGATTTAAGATTAGAGCCTTTTCAATTCTTTTCTCAGATAGTATAAGTTCGTTTTTGCATCGCTTCACTTCTTTGATATTATCAAAAGAAGCATTCAAAAGCAAGGTGGCACTTTCAAGAAAACCTTTACTCAGTGCATACTCTATGCAACTACGACAAATAAGTCGAAATTCTGCTACGTTTTCAAGAGAAGACAAGTTGTAGTTTATAAATTTTTGTAACACATCCCCTTCTCTTTTTGATACAATGAACGGCATATCTATGAATCGCTTGAAATTATCATTTTCTCGCAAAAAGTTTGCTTTAAATTGTTGAATTTCCTTTTCCGTCTGGAAATACCAATTCAGAAACTGGTCCACACGCTCATAGTTGGACAATAATATTAATGTCAAATACGCAACATATGGAGATGATATAGATTTATAAAATGTTTCAATTCCCACAGATTGATTGGCCCATCTCAAGAAAGATTCAGCTGCTTGGATGTTTCTATCGCACATCCACTCAATACAAATATGCCAATTTTTAAGTAAAAAAAACCAATATTTTATCAGCACTTTGCGATTTATTTTATAGGGATAACATTCCGGTGGCAAGGTAGATTTCGATAATAACATGTGAAGCGAACTCAGATTGCTTTGGTAAATGGAACGGCTAAATTCTGGCCGACCAAACATAAACCAGATAAATAGTTCAATTTCTTCTTTGGAAGCATCATTTAATATCCTAACAGCCATGTTCAGATTTCTTAATTTCAGCAAATGCAGCAACACTTCCTTGCAAAGAAGTTCATTTTTCAGAAATGATCGTCTTAGTCTTAAGGGACTGGCTCTCCATATTTCTTCAAAAATCATCATTTCATTTCCCATTTTACTCATGTTAAAACTAATATTCTCCATTATACATAAATAAATGTGTTCTTGAAGATTATCCAATAGTTCAAAAATAGTGGACAAGAATATCCTTTGATATGGCCACCTTTCGAACAAAAACACTAATATGTGAGAATGATTCCGAAAAAATTCGGTCATTTGACATATACGATTGACATGAGATAATAAAAAACATAAAACATCTAACGTTTCTGAAGAAGACTGATAAGATATATGACTTGGAACTAAATGATTTTGTGCTCTCATACGTCGAGTAGCTTGCAAAAGCCACTTACTCAAATGATCGTTTTTCTCTTGCTCCGACAATTTTTTCCAAAAATACTTTAGAGCAACTATCTTACCAATTCGAATCGAATAAGAAATCATATTTACATCAATGCTAAGGTTATCATCGTATGTATTTTCATAATGGTTGAGTCTAGTTAGAAAACTCCCTAAATTATTCTCTAGGACACATGTCCAATATGTTATCAAATCATCCCGGTGCATTCTAAAGCTGTTTCTAATCTCTTCTGGAATTTTCTCCCAGATAATTGAAGCATATTCTCCTAAACAATGAGAGCAGGCTATCTCAAACAAATCGCAAATATCTTTTTCTGAATTTCCATTTTCGAATAGTTCCGTAAGGGATTTCACTATGTCAACTGTCCCCTCTACTGTCCAATAAATTGCTCCAGGCTTTGCGTAATACTTACAGAGATTTCCTTCATATCCTGTCACTCTACAGTAACTAGGAAACGGTTCCAACAACTGCAAAACAATGGGTCGAATAACGTATGAGATTTCGGTCTTCAGCGATGAGGGCAAAGAGCTATTGGACAATTTTTTTAATATTCTCCACTCCAACTCAGCCGCATCTCTCCGATATTGGAAGATATAAGACCTCGTTTCATTCCTTATATCAGGCACCGCACATAGCCTAATTGCAATCGACACTACTGCAATACGCTGCAGGGAGGGAGGTTCAGAAAATTTGTTTATGAAGTCGATTCCAGTCGATTCTGTTTCAGATATTTTGAGTGTCCAGCTTCCAGATCTTTTTTCTTTACGGACACCATCTGTAAAACGCAATTCGAACTTTAGTTTTGAATTAAAGATTCGAATAAAAAGAAAGAACATAATGCATACATAATTGATCACGATCCAAAGTTATACATTTAATATGCATGTTAGTACTAGTTAAGGAGAAATGAAGGCTATGACTAATGCAATTTAGCAATTTTTTGCTTTTAAACGCAAATTTGTATACTATTTTTTAACTTAAGATATTTTTCAAAAATCGGTTATTGAATACATCTTTGAATACCAATTATTAACTATGTCTTTGTGGAACGCGCATACACAATTTCGTGTAGTTCAATCAACTGGTAATCATTGATTCTATATTTTGTTTGAACTTGCAGTATGATGAAAGATTTCAGTTTTAATCTTTGTACATTACATAGAAAGTGATAAGCATTAAGAAATCTTATTAATCGTATTTAGTTATACTAAATGTTATTAATAAATTTTTATAATTTAAAAAAAGAAGTTGAAGTCAATGAACTATGTTCAGAAGTGAATAATTTTTGTAAGAAGTTCAGAGAAAATAAGTTTTAGAGTCTGATTTCGTCACTACAGATAAAGCTTGCGCTAATTGATTAGTATATTTGAGTTCATTATCTTGAACTATTGATAAGTTATTCAGTGTGATTCGTTTAACCTTTTATTTTGCGCACTGCATAATGCGCAAACGAAAATAAACCTGAATAACTTTCTTTCTAATGGTCGGATTTTCACGAACTAAGTTTCAATCTTAATGGTTTCTAGGGGTAACCACAAACATGAATAAATATAATTTTTTTTACATATTTGGATTCTTGACTTGTAAAATATAGGGATTTGCTGCGATCTGGAAATTGTGACCCTAATAGATTGGTCCGGAGAGAGGGTTAAATTTTGGTCCCCTTAATGTTAATTTCCCATTTTGTGTTTTTTGTCATATCTTTAAAACTGAATAAGCAGTTTAAAAATAAGGAACTCATGAAACATCATCATTCAGGAACAGGATCATTCCCTTCAAACAAAAATTTTTAATAACTACATATTACAGAATTTGAAAGTGAATGAAAAAAATTTGATTCATGAGGCATAAATTTGTTTCGGCCACATAGCTCTACGCATTTATACTTCTATTGCAAAATCCAAACTTTACACTATTATTATTTAGTAGAAGCTGAGAAAAATCAAAAGTAATTATTTTTTAAAAATTAATTTGGAGACAATGTAGAAATATTTAAATGGGGCGATTAATTTTTAGTGCGAGGAACTTGATTTACGCACACGAAAAATTTCATTCATATTTTTTCCGCTGATAGCCGAATGTTGATCTTTTTTTTTAATTATGAAATACTTTTGCTTCTTTTGTAGTCATCTGAAAATTTATTCGTAATTCAGCAAAGAGATTCGAATAAAATATATTTAATGAATTTTAAGTTTTATAAAATCATGTTTGTGATAAAATGAGGTCAGCTTTTTTTTAAAAAACATTTCTAGTAAATTCATTGAATAATTGATACAATTTTAATATTTTTTTTTCTCAAATGGCAGGCACTGCACTTTATTCTTCGCCTAAGAAGATGCCGTAATTGTTACTCATTTTACGTTGTGGGAACCTGTGAACCAAAGTCACGGAGGCGAGCAACATTACCCATGCCACACTGCCACAAACCTGTTCATAGGGTGGGCCACATTCACACATCACACACAACAGAGGACAACACATGAGAGAAGAGAGAAACATCCATGCACAGAGCGGGATTTGAAACCGCAGCCATTGACTTCGCAGGCAGGCGCGCTAACCAATCGGCCACCTGGCCGGCACAATGTACATATTAATGTACATAAGTATAAATTGATATGGAATAATATATTTAATAATTATCAAGCGATTACATAAAATTAAATATATATANGTATGGTATGCAGCATGCAGGGATAATGCATTTCATAAAAATTTGGCGACCCCCAAAAAACTTCTGGCGACCCCCACAGGGGTCGCGACCCCTTGTTTGCGCACCACTGTTCTATATCACTACCTAGAAAATAGAATTGCCGAATCGTGCCAAGTATTTTAAAGTTAAATATATCGTCTTAATCTTAAAATGAATTTTTTAATTACCTGGCAGCGCGTGTTACACACAACCATTTGACCAAATAATTAATTACATTTTTTTCATTTTTCAAAACTTTATTTTATACGCTACCACGTAGATTTTTTTTCAATAATATACTATTTTTTTTTTAACATTTTAATTTAGGTTTTATTTCAAGTTAAATGCTCGTTTTCAAATCATCACTAACCTCTTAATACAAGAAGGCTCAGAATATTTGATAATCAAACTTGTTACGAAATTAAAAAAAATATTCTGCTGCTTTTAAATTTTTCGATGCAAAACAGCTGATTATTTTTTTGCATACTATTTTTTCAAACAATGAAGATAAATTATAGTTTTTTTTTATTGTTTCATATTTAATTGTCTAGTGAAAAACAACTGTCGTAGTTGTTTCATCTTTGGGTCCAACTGCCCTCCCTCTGGACTCAAAGCCTCTTTTGATTCCTGTGCTTAGCCGGTAAACTAGCTTGGCACGATTAGGCACAGGGCTTGACACAGGGCTTATTGTCAATGAAATATATAGAACAAAATATAAAGGAAGAGCATCCTTATATTTGAGATGCAACCTTTTCAACTAATTTTTAGCCATAAACTGTCCGACTTAGAACTGTGGAAGGTATTTAAAAAAAAGAGATTACATGATCATACACTTAGGATGTTTGAAAGAGCAAGAAGAACTAGCAGTATTATATTTTCAACAATCAAAAAATTTATTCACATTTTTCTTAAAATTTTATTTTTAAAAGCAACATTTATGTTCGAAAAATAAGTATTAGTTATTTATTTAAAAAAAAAGGCATTTTTATAGGAATTTCTTGTTTTAAAACACATATGTGTTCTTTTAACAGGGATTTCTTATTTTAGATAACAGTACTTATATTTTTAAAAATTTCTTATTTTCAACAATCTTATTAAATTTTAAAATCATTACTTATTTTTTAAGGGAAATTATTATTTAGAAAAATATTCTTATTTTTTTAAAAATGGTATATATTTTAGAAACATTATTTTTTTAAGTGAATTCGTAAGTGAAATTCTCAGGGTGATAATAATATATTCAGTGATTCTAAATAACAAGGTGGTTGTCTCAATATGGGTAGGTTAAATGCAGCAGAATTTTTTTGCTTACACTTTAATCTAAACATATTTTGTTTTATTTTATAACCGTCGTTGAACAGCCGTCGCACTTTTGGTCAACTCCGTAACTTAGCAATTTTGAGCCCAACACGAAACAAAAGAGCTCCTGGATCAAACTAGCTATCTTGGAAAACTTTTCGATCAAACTTACTCTCATTACCGTTATATGGAGTAGAAAACTGCGAAAACCTCTCAAGGTTAGTCTGATGGCAAGAAAACTCTAACCCATGATTCTCTACCACTGAGGATATTTTACGTCAGCAGTCAGCACTGTGGTAGGTGCGAGCTTGGTGTGGAATTCGTATAGAGTAATTACATTTAACATCACTTGAAGTGCAACTTACTATTATCAAGTAAATTTCTCGGAGACAGACAGACATATATATCCGTTTCAATAGTCATACTTATTTCCACAGTATCGATATTAAAACTGAGCATAGTTTTAATACTATCAATTACTATTTGGTGATTATTTAAACTGCACTGACATAGCGAATAAAGTACGTGCAATAGCGCACTCTTTTCTTGATCAAATAGAACTGTAAGCAAGTCAAATATCACCCTCATATTGGATACAAACTTTAAATGCCGAAGTCTCGGTTACATTTTAAATTAGGCCGAAGTGCTTTTATATCATTTTTATTATTTTTTTACAAGGGACTATTATATTACATTATTGTATTAACACTTTTTGTCTTCGGGAGCCGTACAAAAATTTAAAATTTTAATCTAAAATTCAAATTTATAGTTTTTAACCATAATGGATGTGTTAAACAATAAAATTTCTTTTAGTCTTATAGAAATATGAGAAAATTACGAAACAAATAATTTTATAGACACTATTTTAGCGATTAATATGCTGACCAAAAGAGAAAAAAAGGAAGAAGAAAAAAGCAATTGTACGGTTTTAAAGTGCATAAGATTTTATTCAAATACATTAAGTCTAATAAAGTGAAGAATATTCCAAAATGATGCTTTCAATAAATATTTAGCATATTTGTTACTCATCGAACTACAAATTTGTTGTTGAAATTTGTTTTCGAGTTATTAAAAAGAACTTGGTTAATATCTGATGTATCATTATCAGGGACAGTCCCTACACCACCTAAATTATATAAATATCATAATTGATAGTATAACTCTTGAGAGCTCATGGGCCCGATCTAGCTCCGCTGGTCATGGGGATGAGAACAACAACATAACTCTTTAGAAGAAAGTCTTCAGAAACTATATTAGGCTACACCGTTTAAATGTGAATGCATATTGAAAAAAAGGTTCCTCAAAATTTTAGTATAGAAAAATAAATAAAATAAATGAAGAAAGATGTATAAAAAAATTTACATTACGTATGAGTTATTTTCATTATTATGTATCTTTTATTGGTTGCTTTAAAAAAAAATTTTTTTTTACATCTTCAAGGTTTAAGGAACTTTAAATGGTTTTTCTACATGACATATATCTCATTCAGGCATATGCTTTGAATGTATGCTCAAGTACAAAAATATAAAATCATAAATATTATTTTAGAAAAACAGTATTTTAGAAAAATTAAAAGGTAATAAATTCCAGGTCCAGCTTTCTGAAAAATACCACATAACCATCAAGAAATGACTTTCCAGAAAAAACAATTCCTCTTCGACCATATTTCATATCTGTGTAAAATGCTCTAAATACAATATGTCATAAGAGAGCTTAATAAAAATAGAAGTTTTCACATAGTTAATTACTGCGGCTCGAAGATTTTCATTTTAACTATGATTGAAAAT